ACCAAGTGTTTCAGGAGTTGAAAAGGAAGAAAAGAGCTGGATTTCAGCCTACCTGAACACCCCAGGAACCCTGGTTTTCTGTGTTTAAAAATTGCAAATTCTTTGATTTAAAAAAAACACACAGAAAAAATCCCAAATATTCTGATGAAAATCCCCCAAATCCATGTTTTCCCATGATTAAAATGAAATGCCACAGTATATATAGGTATCAATTTAAGACAATGTTTTACTGATATATTTACAATTTTCAACCAATTTGGAAGCCTACCAGTGCTTCAATCATTATAATAAAATACATTCTAAATGTTTATATACTTTGGCATTTGATTTTGTTTTTTTTATCCTGGAAAATCAGAGCTTCCTATGCCACCTTCAGTCACCAGGATGCAGGTCCAGCTGCTGCTGTCCCCTCTGCTGCTTTGTGGTGCTGAGCAGCCTTGATATGCTGGTGCCCTGTCCCTGGGCATACCATTGCCCCTCACTCCCAAGCTACAGCACCCTCCGCCCCCCAGCCTTGCCAGTGCCCCTCACTCCCAGCTCATAGGCCCCTTCCCCCATGGGCCATGCTGGTACCCCTCACTTCTGACCCACAGCCCTCCCCCACCTCCCTGGGCCATGCTGGTACCCCTCACTCTCAACCCTCAGCCCCCCATCCCTGCTGGTGCTCCTCACTCATGACCTGCAGCCCCCTGGCCCTGCCAGTGCCCCTCACTCCCAGCTCATAGGCCCCTTCCCCCATGGGCCATGCTGGTACCCCTCACTTCTGACCCACAGCCCTCTGGCCCTGCCAGTGCCCCACACTCCTGGCCCACAGTCCCCTGGTGCCCCTCACTCCCAAGTCACAGCTCCCCACGGCCCTGCTGGTGCCCCTCCTGACATGCCATCCTCTACACCCCCCCCCCCCAGCTGCTCTGTCCCTGCAGTTACTGCAGTGGCTCTGACTCGGGGGTGGCGATGGAGCGAGTTGGCCCCAGCATGGGCTGGAGGGAGGAGGAGGGGAAGCCTGTGGCATCCCCATCCTGGGCCAGGGCTTCCATGCCACAACAGGCAGCCTGGCTATGGCTCCCTACCCTTCTCCTCCCCCGCCCCGGGCAGCATCTCTTGGTCACCCTGATGCCAGCCCAGCCATGCAGCTCCCTGCCAACCCCAAAGAGCCCCTCCCTGCCCCCTCCCCCTGCTGGAGGGGCAGGCAGCTCCCCCTCCTGCCCCCCTGCCGTGCTGCAGCCTCACTGCCCACAGACCTTCCCTCAGCGCTGGCAGGCTCCCACCTGGGATGGATATTTTCTCTCTCCCACTGTGATCATTTTAATGGGCCAGACTCTGCTCTTGACTGCTTGTGCTTGGCTCCCAGTTACTTCAATGGGAATTGATTCTCCCTGCTTTCATCCCTCACACACAAAGCCGATGATACAGTTTGGCCTTAAGGTCCTCTGAAAAAAAGCTTTTTCTTACTCAGTACTGAAGGTTCACAGACCTCCAGCTCTGACAAAGGCTCCCTTTTATCTCTGTTCTCTGCTGCTGCTTTCGGCCACCTTTGTTGTTCAAATCTGCAGGCTACAGAGAGCATATCTACCATCCCCATCCCTCAAAAGCCTGCATGCATCCATTTGTGTATAGGAATGGGGGGATGCTTGATCAGAATGACTTAGCCCTTTCCCCTCCAAGTCCTTGGTGAAAATCTTATTCTTTGGGAGCTGTGACCCTGAAGCAACAGATATTTGCCTTTCTGTCATCTTTCCAGCTTAGCAGGGGTTGGGGGGGGGGAGGGGGGTTGTTTTCTTCTTGTTTTGGCCTTTCAACCATCTGTGTTGATCTTGTGTAGTTCTGGATATGACAACTGGAGCTGTATGTCTGCATCCACCCAAAATAGGAACTAAGGTATATAACAATAGTATTGGTATCAAAGGATACTATTATATGCTATTGCACTGTAACTTGCCTCTGTGTGATTCTGTGGTGATACAAGTGTAGTGAAACTGCCGCAGCTTTACCCTTGTTTTGTTCAGGCTCAAAGTTAGCGTGATTCAGATTGCTTATATCACTACAGGATCAAGCTGACGCAACAGATCATACAAGCTGATATATAGCTCTCCCACCTGAGTGGGAGCACCCCCTCCTCTTTAAAGTGGTCAAAAGATACATTTGTCTGTACACTGAATGATGTAGTGTCACAAATCTGAAGTTCTACATTGTATAAAGTTCAGTGGTTCATTTGACTTCTCCTTTTTCTTACATGAAAAAGTGGTCAGATCTTTCTCCCTATAGCTATATGCCCATTTAAACATCAAAAACTCCAAAACTATGAATGAGATTGTGATTTGATGCCATGTAATACACAATGTTGGGTTTTTTGTGTGACTTATGTTATCCAAGCATCATTCTCAGTCAGACTGGTCTGGGCTGCAAAACACTACTGGAGACTTCTGTTTCTACCCAAACTCATGAGTTTGTAATCAGTCATTGTCAAGATGGCAATATGATGTGGCTTGTTTCTGCATGCCACATGGATAGTACTTTAACAACTGCAACAGCTCACAGTGCTTTGCCTCTGTTCATGGTCTAAGATGGCATCTTCCTGCCTTCCTGTACCTAACTTACCATCCCATTTTTTATAATATAAGCAGGATCTCCTGATCATATATATAAGTGGATTGGCCAGTCTTCCTCCTTCCCCTGTTCTCAGTGCAGCAGGATGTTTCAGTGTCCCATGGGTCTCACTGAGTCACAGTGTCCCACGTGCTGCTGCTACCACTGGTGTGCATGTCCTTCACATACTCTATCCCTTGGTGAGGTACTGTGGGATAATGCCACAGTTTTCCCAGACCGCATTGATACACACATTAAATGTTGATGCCTAACGTTGCCTGTGCTGGAAAAAAGAAATGTGTTATGGGGACACAGCTTAACCATGTGCATTGTAACTGAGCTAGAGGAGTGTCACCAACCTGTGAAAAACCCTGGTTGTACCAGTGTTACAGAGAGGGCCTTTGCACCTCCGTGAATCACAGAAGCATGAGAGGCTGGTGGGCACTGCAGTCTTTAATTTGGTTTTCAATAAATCATTTTTCCTAATCTGTAGGGTGAGGTGGGATAGAGGAGTGTGTGGTTCACTCACTTCTTTCTGTTGCACCCTTTCTGCAGAACTTCCCCCCTTCCCTTCATTTTCTGGGTCACAGTCTTGTACCCATTCTCCATTGTGTTCATTAACTTTCCCTTTGATAATGATTGGGGTAATTTTCTTCGCTCTACTTCTCTCACCTCATATCACTCATTTTATCCTCTGCCTACTTTTTTGGCTCCCTCCGTCTTGCCCCTTTAGCACAATTCTTCCCTGTAGCAGCAGTTGTGCTTTCAGCCCTCTCTGTCTAGAGCATTGTCATCCAAGCTACTGAGTCACTTCCTCCTTTAAATCCAGCTTTAAACCTTCCTTTTCTTTTTGGCTTATGATTCACTGTCTTTGTGAAGTTCCTTGTGAAGCTCTGTACCAAAAACATTACATAAAAATATGCTCCTGGTATATAATGCACTCCTTGTGACTAACTTCTTTAAGCAAACCAGTAGAGTTTTGCCCCTGTCTGTAGGCAAAACTGTATCCCGACTTGCTGCTCAGGTTCGTGGTGAAAAGTGCATTTGACCCATTTGACCTTTTCTGACCGTCTTGAGTGGCTTGGATCTGTATTGCTCAGAATTAGACTGAAGTGGTTCCTGTGCATTTCTCTTTGCATTGTCTGAAATAATGATGGGTACAAGATTCTGCCTTTTGGGTGCATGTATGTAATTTCCCTTGATGTCATGGAGAGAAGCATGCATATGTCTGAAGATGCAATATATATATATATGTTTTTCCGTCAGACTAAGAAGACGGCCAGTTGTTACAATATTGCTACCACTTATAAAATATATGGTCATTTCAGGAATGAATGATTGACTGTTTAGGACTCAGTAGGACTGAGTACTGACTAGGGTGTGCTTGGGAATTAAAGGTTTGCTTTGGTTTATGCCTTATACAGATATTTTTAAAAGAAATTCCCCTCACGTTTTCTGTGATAGTTTTTTTTCGGTGTATGTACCTGGCTATGACCAGGGTCCTCTTTCCAGTCATTTTGAAGCATCTGACAATCTGAAGGATTTATTATCACAATTTGTCTGTGAGACAAGGAATTATTATCCACATTTTACAGATGGGAATAGAGGCACAGAAAAGTTAGGGCCAAAATTCTCTGCAGGTATTGGTAGTTCCCGTGGAGTTTTGTAGTTCCATTGGCTTCTTTGGAGCATCTCCTTTCTTCGTAGTACGGATTTGTGGTAAATTTTTCAAAACATTTAAGTCCTGTCTTCAAAGTACGTACAAGCTAGAGCCCCATTGGCTTTCAATGAGATTTAATTTCCAAAGTAATGTGGGTGCTTCTGAAAATGTTCCTGTAAAAGATTTGACAAGTTCATACAGGAAATCCAGGACAGAGCCAAGAACTGCACCCAGCCCTCCTAAGATTCAGTCTAGTATCTCAATTGTTGGCTCATACACCCTGATTTTCAGAAATAACACCAAGACCAGGGCACAGGATAAGAGATTACATCAGCAAACCACCTAGAATTAAATATGAATTGCATGACATAATATATAATAGCTAACACTTTAGAAAACAGCTCATAAGACACTTTTCAGAATAGTGCAGATATGTTTTATATATCAGATATAAAATATATATTTAAATATATTCTTTTTAGAATAGTGCAGATATGTTATATATATATGTGTGTGTGTATGTATGTATGTATGTATGTATGTATGTATGTATGTATGTATTTATATTACAGCTTTGGTTTTCTTAAAAGTAGAAAGAAAACATTTTGAAGAATTATATGTGTGTGTGTATATCTGTGATATTACATATGGATTATATCACATTCTAGTCGGGCAACTCTTGGGAATGATTTTAGCTTATACTTATCAATGCACAACTTATGCTTGTTTCTCTGGTTGTGTTTTTTTTGTTTAGAATGAAGTGATAAGCCAGCAGCTGTCTGTCATTTTCACTCATTGCTATGGACCCTATCCAATTCCAAAGCTTGTTGAAATCAAACGGAAGCAGACCTCTCGTTTAGGTAAGCTTTAGGTGAATTATCAGCCAGAGTGTTCTCAGCAGACAGTCTGAGAAGGAGGAGATAGCAAAAGAAAGGAAAGAGGAAAAATGTTCATTTAGTCATCCTGTCATAGTCTACTCAGTGGTGCAAGAAAGCTGGCTTCAGAAATGAGATTCCTGTTTGAGTGCTCTGGGGACACAGGACAGAACAAACATAAGTGTAAACTGAAGAATTAATAAAAAGCTACAGAGGCCACTCTTAATATATGGGCAATTTCTTGCTCGTCTATAACTCTGATAGAAGTCCTTGGTGTGTAGAATTGGCCCTTTAGTCCTTACTCTTGGGTCTTAGTCTTGTATATGCTTAGACCATTGTGCACTGCCAGACTTGTATAACAAGGCTATGTTGTGTTTTCTTAGATCCAGCAAGCAACAGCTATAGAAGAAGAACTAGGACTAGTAAGCCAACAGCATTCACCCCATCTTGAATGAACTCCATGTGATGGATGGCTGTTATCTTACAAAAGATCAAAACAAATTTCAAAGCTTTTGGATTTACTTTGTATAAGTTCTGTTAGAATATCTATATATGTTCTATCTCAGGCTAGTCAAAATAGCTTCACAGGCTTTTCTAGGTAAAAAGAGCATCCCCTTAAGCATTTGCCTTTTCTCACCAAAACAGGAAAAGAGTTTTTAGACAGGTCAGCTATTCCCAACTAAAGAGTTTCTTTTATCTCCTTTTCTGATTCCAGACCCTCACTTTCTTAATAATAAAGAGATGTCAGATGTCACATTCCTGGTGGAAGGAAGGCCTTTTTATGCACATAGAGTATTACTATTTACTGCATCCCCAAGGTAAATATACACATGTATGCTTCTTAAGAATGGATAATTAGTTTGATCTTTGTTTTTACTGTGGTGATGCGTTAAGACTAACAATGCAGGTGAAGCCTCCATGTTTCATGTTTTTCTTAGAAGGTAACTTTCTGACAACATTACTTTGGTAGATGTATAAAAGGGGTTCCCAAAGTTTTTATGCCATGGCCCGGCAAACCACGGCCCGGAAGTGGCCGCGGCCCAGTAATCACAGCCAACTGCAGCTGTAATTTCCGGCCAGAAAACAGGTAAGGATATCCTCACCCCCCAGGTGGGGGGTGGGCCAAACCCTATGCTGCCGCAAGCCCTGAGGAAGGAGCCACAGCTTCTCCGCCCAGCTCTGAGGGGCTGCAGTTTGCCAGTCCGTGGCCACTTCCGGTCTGGCAGCTGACCATGCTGCGAACCGGCAGCCAACCCGCCACAGCCCAGCATCAGGCCGTGGCCCAGGGATTGAGAATCCCTGTTGTATAAGATATTTCACAAATGAAGGGCTGTAGGCTGCGTACATGCAGACTCTTCCCCTGTGCAGATCACCACTGACTTTGCTTCACCTGGCCACAGGAGTCTACTTGCATGAACCTCATTTCCTGTTTGAGGCTCTAGTCCTGGATGACACATTCCATTTATGCTCGGGTTCCATATAGTTTGAATGGCTAAACCCTGCTTTGTACCTTGCCTACATGCATTATATTTAATAGAAACAAGCTTCCATTGCACAACCCACTGAGAGGGTTTATATATATTTTTAATAGAATTGTATATCTACAACAACAGGCCACATTACATCCAAAGGCATCCCCCATTCCAAAGCCTGGAAATAGAAGCACAAGGCCTATAAAAGCCTTAAGCAAGACTTCCTTCTTATCACATTCACACAAGCATTTATCAGTTCAATTAATGGCATTGTTAAACTGATTAGCTAGCCCAGGGTGAGTTTTGCCTAAGCACTCTTATTTCAGTAGCTTATGTCTGTTTAATGCACAGTGATAAAAGTACAGGTTTACTCTAAATCAGGAGTGCCAACCGATAGAAATGTGTCCACAAAGGAGCTTGCATTGATCTAACTAAACTTTTTTTTAGTTAAACTGATGGAAGATCTGTGTATGGGCAAGACCACACATCAGAAACTACTTGTCTTAATAAATAAACTGGGCTTTGCACTGCATGCAGAAGGTCTAGCAAACCATCAGAAGGGAATTCCAGAATGAGGGTCTCTGACAGTGCTCTGCCCACTTACTCCTGTGTTCAGATCTCAGGAATGTCAGCAGAAGTGGCTCATGTATTCAGGATGGTGCACAGGGAGGGAAGATACCCACTCTTGGGTAGCGAAGATCTAGCCCCATTTGTCCTATCTTGCAAGGAATCGCATGATAGAGACTGCTTGGTGAACAAGAAGAAACTATTAGTTAGGAAACAAGATAAATTAAAGGAGGGGAGGGAAGAGATGAGGATGAAGGAGGAAGGTGGGGGGAGGGCAGTAACCGATGAGATCACCCAGCTAGTGCCAGCTGCTTGAACATGCAGTCCCTGCGGTTGTACCTTGCACTGAAATTGATGGGAATGTTGCCCTAGTGAAGACTACAGAGTAGGGATTTCTCAGTGAATGACTAACATAAAGTATTTCCAGCAAACCTGGGTGTCTGGAACTCAACATTAGTCAACAAATCATGGGTTGAATGATAGCAATGGAATGTGTGGAGGTACAGAGAACAAGAGCTTACAATGTGGTGTATATATAGCACCTTTGAGTAACGTTGTTTGTATATAGCATCAGTTTCTAGTGAATACAGAACTCTGGGAATTATCCCTTGAACTATTTGCTGTTGATCTGTGTTAAAGATGTAACAACTAGGAATGTCATCCATTTATTAACTAGGGCTGTGTGAAGCTTTGGGTGCTGATTCAATTCAGAGGAGATTTGGCCCAATTCAGCAGCTGGATCTCTAAATCTGAATCGAATCAAGAGACCAATAAAAAGGTCCGAATTGATTTAAAGCTCTCCGAATTGATTGGGAAAAGATTCGGAGAGCTTTGGAGATTCAGGCAGCCCCTGCTCGCTGAAGCAGGGAGCTGGACCCAGACTCCGTGCTGGTAAGTAGGGGGCGGGGGAGGAGGGGCTGGAGGAGGAGGGAGGGGACCATGGGGGGATCCCCACTAGGCCCCATCCCCTGCCTGCTCCCCCAGCTCCCCTGAACGCCCCCCAACCCCTGCCCAGCCCCAGCTCCCAGCCCTTAAAAAAGATTTAAAAAGCCCCACACTCACTGGCTACACACACACACACTGCGGAGCAGCAGGGATCCCCACCCCACCCCCAACCTGGCAGGAGCCCGTGAGCCCAGAGCTTCTTTTTTTTTTAAAGCTGGGAGCTGGGGCTGGGTGGGGCAGCCATTGATGGGGCTAGGAAAGTGGGCGGGGGATGGGGCCTGTCCAATTCAGAGATTCAGCCAAGTCTGCAGCGGCTGAATCACCAAATCAGATTGGGCTGAATCGATTCAGGACAGTGATTCAAATCACCGAATTGAATCAGTCCCCTGAATCAGCCAAATCCGAATCCAAAGTGAATGCTAGCCACTTCCCACAGGCCTATTGTTAACAATTAGGACACTGCCCTTTTCAGTGGTCTCTAGAGTACCTGTTATGTGGTCAAGCACATTAGAAATACATAGGCAGATATATATTTTAAACCTTCAAGACTGGCTTATGGTTTAAGGCGACCTGGAGAGGTGGGCTGCAAGAGATCTCCTTTGCTGCAACTTAAGCCCCTTCCTTCTTGTCGTAACGGCCATGGGTGTGGATTAGCATTCATTGTCTTCTCCTTTACAGCAATTTTTTATCTATCTATTTGAGACTGTTATCATGTCTCCCCTTGCTCTTCTTTTTCTCTAAACTAAACCCAGTTATTTCAGTCTCTCCTCATACCTCCTGCCTTCTAGACCTCTGATCATTTTTATTGCTTTCCAGTTAGTTTGTGTCTTTCTTGAAGCATGGTAGCCAAAACTCACACAGTAGTCCAGTAGAAGTCTTTCCACAGCTGAGAAGAGTAAAAGTATCACTCCTGGTTATAATACATCCCTGTTTGATGTTTACTTTTATTGTAGCAACCTGACATTTTTGCCATATATTCTATTGGTGATCTCCTTTGAACTCCTGATTCCCCTGTGCAGAACTGCCTCACCATGCATTCTCCATTTATGTAGGCTCCTTCTACGCATTACATTTATGCTACAATTAATGTGTTAATCACAGTATAAATGGGCAGGGTGTTACATGTGCACCCAATTTAAGGGCTCCCGCTGCAGCAGCAACTAGCAATAGTGTGATGGGGATCTGATCCCCAAATTGCACCTCTTACCATGCACATGTGGCATGGCAGGAGGTGTGATTGTTGAGATCTAGGGAGTAGATCCCATTGCACCATGAAATGAATGTATGCCAGAAGCATCTTTCTCACCTTGTTATTGCCTAGGTACTTACAAATAGATTATTTAATTCTTTGTACCTGTATCTTTCTAGGACCTGAAGTTACGATGACTAGTCTATAATTCCTGGAGTCCTCCTTTGTAAAGATAGGCATTATTTGCCAAGCTTCCAGAACCTTACCTGTCCTTCATGAATTCTCAGAGAGAATCACTAACAGCTCTAGGATTGCTTCAGCCAACTCCCTAGTTACTCCAGGGTGATTTCATCAGGTCCAGCCAATCTGAAGGCATCTCACATATCTAAAGGAGCTGCTGCTGCCACAGCTATTTCAGCAAATCCCCACAGCGGAGACAAATTGTATGGCAGTGAAGGGTGTTTTTTTTTCTGCTGACTTCACTAGACCACCTCTCCAAAGGACAGAAGTCAAGCCAGTGGAATCCCTCCTCTTTCAGCATAGTCGGATCCAGGTGGGGAAAGGGGGAGGGTTACTGACATAGCTTTTCTGACAAATCTTTGTAGTGTAGATTAAGCACAGATAGCCTGTAACTTAGTGATTCTCAATCAGAGTGCCACAACACCCTTGGGTGCCTTGAGATCCTTTCGGGGCGGCCACAGAATGCCACAAAATGTTAGTGCTGTTAGGTGTGCAAACATGATTCACAAGATACACCCAGAGATTTCTGATAGGAATCCATAGTGGTAAAACCATTCTGCCCTGTTGTAGTCTTTCTGAGTTCTTTGCAACAGAAGAATAGCTCTATTATTTTTCTGTAATAAAAAATCAAATTAAAACTAACAGCTGACATTTTCCAGGGGGCCTTGAGTCTGAAAAGGTTGAGAACCACTACTCTAACCTGTTTTTCCCTATTCCGGCCTGACTGCTTTTCCCTTTGCTATTGATACTGTCAGCCCTCTGATCATAGTTAAACTTTTTAGTGAAGAGTGAAGCCGAAAAAGTCATTAAGCACTTCAGCCTTCTTGCTGTCATTTATCATCAGCTTTCTCTCTCTAAAGATTAGTAGGCAACCTCCTTGATCTTCCTCTTACTGCTAGTGTACTTTTGGAATGTTCTATTCTTACCTTTCAGCCCCTTCCTAGTTGCATCGCATTGTGCCTTGGTCTTTCTGTTTTTGCCCCTGCATGCTAGTGCTATTCTTTCACATTCATCTTACTAATTTGACTTAGTTTCCACCTTTTGCATATTTCCTTCTTGAGGTTCAGGTCATTGAGATGCTTGGGATTTAGCCATGTTGGTCTTTTAATTGAATTTAATACACATATAATCATTCTGAGACTAATAAAGTATCCAGTTCTCCCCTCATCCCCAAACAATTGTATTAAATCTACATAAAAGTTTTAAATATCTTTGTGAAGGATTTTTAATGGACTTATTTAGCATTTTGTTCTGAGCAATTTTGCAAAACCAGCAAAATGAAATGGGCAAAAATGCATATTGGTTTTCATCTAAAAAGGAAATGTTAAATAAGTTAAATTTAGCCGATTTTACTAAAAAATGGTATTCTTCAAGCAAAGAAACATTAAGATTCAGATTCTGTAATGAGGTTCAAGTGGTTACAGAAGCTATATTGTCTAAACAGAGTTTTCATAAAATTAGATATGTGTTCCAGAAATGTAGAATGAAGTTTCCTAAAAAATGAAATTTATTCATTTAAATTTTAATATTGTTACATTCTTCTAAACTACAGTAAGTGCAAGCCTTTGCAGTTGTCAGCGCACAAATCCCACTAAGCTTCTCTGCATTTTAATGTACTATTTTTGCAATAATTGAAGGAAGCTTCCTTTCCACTGTGCTGTATTTTATCGCAAATATAATTGGATTAGTATTTCAGTCTTGCTTGTTTTTTATTTAGGTTTAAAGCACTGCTGTCTAGCAAGCCCCCAGCTGATAGCACTTGTATTGAGATCAACTATGTGAAGTACCCCATATTTCAGGTAAAGTCAGTGCTTGCATAGCAGCTAAGTGAAATGTGCAATACAATTTGTACATATACCCAACAAAACATAATGCAGTTACATTCAGTGAATGTCATACCTTAGAGCAATGGTTTCATGGGCAAAGGCCTTGACTCCATAAGCTAATCTGCATTGTGTTATTGATTAAACCCAAATAATGTGTGAAGAGCTATAGTGAGCTCTATGAATATTACTTGCCTAGTCTTTGAAGTCAGAGCAGTGCATTGCAGTGGAATAAATGCACAGTAGTGTGTCGGAGGGAGGGTGGAGGTTCAAAAATAGCTGCTGCACGGGTGGCCCAGCCATCACCAGGAGCTCAGCAACTGAGCCGTCCCATGCTCTGCCACCACCCAGATTTCTCAAGCATCTAGTTATGCCTCTGCATTTGCATGGGCTTTTAGAGTCCTTTCTCTGTCGTTGCTATTTCTGTATTGAATGCACAGGTTTGGAAGGATATTAAGTCCTTTCCTAGCATTGTTGTTTAATTAAACTTTCTAATGCCGTCCACAAAAACGTAGACCTAAACCTACCTCCTTTGCAGATCGCATTAGATGCACCAAGCCAAAGAAAATTCATTTTACCCAGAGCAAATACAGTTCCATTTCTTGATTGTTCGAGCCTCAGAGATTCCTCCGTGCAACTTACAGCTGCCTGTAATAACATTTAGGTTTATTGCAATTTCAGTGAAGGGAAATCTTACTTGGCCCATATTGCAGTGCAGTCTCAGCAGTCCCTTCTCACCAACCATGCATGGCAACAGGATAGTGTAGAGGAGGAGAAGATATGGTTACCCATAAAGAGAGGGATTCAAGAAGCAGCCATTTCACTGTGGCATGTACTCTTGAATAGATTGTGTAAAAGGAGAATCGTAAATGACCTGGCAATTCATAATGAAAGTACTAGGTTTGATTTCCCTCACAAACTACTTGGACCTCACTGGAGAGTCACAGCAGTGCAACGGATGGGGCCTAGGAAGAGAAAGCATGCCACCTGTGAAGAGGAGGCTTTACAATGGGCAGAGGCAGAGAAAGGATCTTTGCATGACCTTAAATTTTTCCCCTTTTGACCAAGCTGACTTGTGAATCTGTGGCCCTAGAAGTGGTTTGCTGATCTCACTTGCTTCTCCCCTTTTTACCTGTGCCCTGATATATTCCTGAAGCATCCTGCTTCTTCATTATGTCCCCTTCCCTTCTTTCACATGTTCTTACCCAAGCGGGGCTGGTATGGCTCCAAGCACTTCATCCTTTTCGATTAATGACAGTGACCTCTAAAGCAGAGGCCGTCAGGATAGTGAAAGGCATGCACCTATAATGTGCCTGTGTCACCCTGGTGTGCTTTTTGTAAGCTAAAAATCTCTCTGTTTTGTTGCAGCTGGTTATGCAGTATCTTTATTATGGAGGTGCAGAGTCACTTCTGATTAAAAATAATGAAATAATGGAGGTAAGAAATATTTCACTTCATTCCACAAGATGCTAGCATAAATAAGCTCTGGACCATTTGTAGGAATGCACATGGGAATGGTTTCAAATGGGCATTGGCAAACAGCAAAGAACTGTGGTGACAGTTTTTACCAGGTCATTTAGTTCTCCCAGGGCATAATCTGGCATCTGCCTGCACTATTTTGGGAGGGGGGATCACAATCTCTTTTCATCTCTGCTACCATCTGACCCTGTCTCTGTACCCCTTACACTTCCTTCCCAGATTGTAGTTGATACCAGCTGACACAATAGCACCCCAGGTGACAGCCTCCACACCCATTCACTTGCATGAAAGCAGAATTTATTTGACAACAGGGAAAAAAAGAGAAAAATCACAAAGCAAAACATAATTTGAACTAAAAGGATGCAGGGTGGTAGATATTAAAATCATTGAGAGTTGGTTACAATCCCAGTGCACATCTTGCATGTAGGTTGGCACCAGATGATATTGTTATATTACACTGTCACCGCACTGTTCCTACTTGGGGCATCCATGCAAAGAAAGTGACAGCAACTGTGTCATGCCTGCAGGATATGACTGACCAATCAGAGTATGTTTCAGTAGGTACAGTAATATTTAAAATAATCACGTAGAGAAGGTCTGGTGCAGGTCTATTTGTGGAATCAGACAGATCTGTAATAAATCCTCACAAGTTTGTTGGTGCAGGTTTAATTAGGCTCAGTCAAATCAACTTTTTTATTCTTAATAAATCATTTGTTGTTTTTCCAGTTCACTCATGGAATTTTGGCAAAGAAGTCTCTAAACCTAAACCCTTTCTATAAAAAAAAAAAGTTCTCAACCTAGTTAGTATCACAAAATTATAGACAGAAGCTACAAACACATGACACAATTACTACAGAGTAGTTTGCCATGGATTTTGCTCTATAGTAAATTTACATTGTAGTAAGGAAGTGAGATACAAACAGCTCCCATGGACTGGCTGCCAGCAGTAGGTCAAGCCTGATGAAATTAACTTGGAGAGAAAAGACCACTTGTACACCGCTAGCATATGTACTCATTTCCTTAAGGGCAACTTTATCCTGGAGTGGAGTGACATACGCTGGTGTAAGGTTGTGCATCATGTGTTTGCTCTACTTCAACGATGGAGTAAAGTCAGTTTACTCTGTAGTAAATGTATTGTGTGTCCCCACCCATAGATCTATTTTCTGGTATTTGTTTATTAGATGACTATACTGCCCTCAATCGAAGAGACTCAGGGCAGCTCACAATGAAAATAAGATAAATCATAAAGACAGGTAAAATATTAAAATAAAATGTGTAATTATCTGGATCACTAAAAAATGCATCGTAGAGCTCAACATGTGTGGGTGTGTGTATAATAAGCTCCCCAGCAACTGATTGTGTGAGTAGGTGCAAAACACTTGCTCAGATGTATACGGGTATCCATCCACTCGGCATTGCCTCCTCTGATGTCTTTCCCATTGCCTTGACTGTCCCTGAATTGGGAAAAACGGTAGGGGTTGCATATCACTGTAAGAACAATATAGCTCAGTGGCTGGTGACCTATTCAGGCTGTGGGCTGGAATGATTCAGCTCAGGTCAGAGGTGAGCAGGCACTAGGATCTGACCAGTGTAATTGCTTCTCCCCATGGCTGCATAGGAGAAGCCCCTGCTGCCGAAGGCCCCCTCCCGCACCCTCCTACCGTCCAAATGACATCAAAGCCCCATATCTGTAGGCCAGATCTGGCTTCTAAGCCATAGGTTGCTGACCCCTGATACAGATAGCTGATTAAGAGGGGAGTGTTAACCCCTCAAGATTCCTATGGTTTAAGAGCCCTTGTAATCTTCCCTGAGATACTGTGGCAGCTGGACTAAGACTCGGCTTGAGTTTTCTAAATTACATTGAGCTATTTACTTTATTCCAAATATGATAAAAGAAGTACCAGAAATACTAATCAGAAATCTTTCCTGCAGTTCATAATTGGGGCCAGCTGTCTGGCATCACATTGCCACTGCGGATTTCCAGAATTTGGGTTTATTTCTGGGATTAGAACAGCATTTGAAGTAAATGGATGGGATAAGCCAGAACAGCAGGCTAACAGCTTTTTCCCCCACCAACAACCCTACTTACCAGCCTGAGAGCACTGTTGGGTTTCACTGAAAGGCTCTTTTGTCTGGTGTCCCCAGCATCCTGTGGTGCTACGGGTTATATAAATGCCTAAAGATAGATAGAGCACCCAGCTCAACTCTGTTATCTGTGTACTGCTGAGAACAGCATGCTGAGCACTGAAGAACACTTGCCTACTTCTAAGCCAGAGAAGAGAGGCAGGAAGAACTTGCAGCAGAACAAGAAAAATGGTGGTGAATAGGGGCTCAGCCAGAAAAGAAAGAAAAGAGAGAGCAAGTGAAATCCTGTCCCCAGTGAAGTCAGTAGAAAAATTCATGTTAACTTCAACAAAGTCAGGATTTCACACAAAAGATCTTACGGTTTCTCTCCAGCCACCAAAGAGAGTGAGAGGAATTCTGCGTTCACCCTCTGACAGCTGAGATGATAGTTTAGAGCTCTGGAAGTTTCATAAATATATCAAGCCAGATAGGGCTATGATGATGATCTTGTCTTATTTCCTGCATAACCCAGGCCATTGCATCTCCTCCAGCAGTTCCTATACGAAGCCCTCGTGTACTCTTTGATGTGTTGTGTCCAGTAGGGTTGAACTCAGATCATTTATTTCAGGCACATGGCTCTGCAGGTTCTTCCAGTGAGAAATGCCTTTCTGAAGTGGCCACAGGCTCTCATAGGTGCTGCTTCCATTATAGCACACAGAGATCTGATGAGTTTATACATTGTTGGTTCCCTCCATCCCCTTCCCCCTCCCCACATCTGAGTCTGAAAGTTCCTTTCTACTCATCATCTGCTTATAGGTGCTCACAATAGCTTGATCGGATGTGTTACCTTCCCTTTGTAGCAGTGCAAAAGACTATATCAGCTCAAAAAGCCATCTTATTGTGACTTACCTGACAAAAAATTGGGTCAAACCTCATTAGAGGACAGTGGAAAAAAAACCTAACAAAGTACTAATGTAATGCATGGTAACATTTAGAACTATTCTGCTCAGCACTTCTGATCATTTTTTTCTGCTCTTTAGCTTCTCTCTGCTGCCAAATTTTTCCAGCTTGAAGCTTTACAGCGACACTGTGAAATCATCTGTGCAAAAAGTATCAATACAGAAAACTGCGTGGATATTTATAATCATGCCAAGGTAAAAATAATTGTCTATGTGTGTGCATGCAAGTGTGTGACTATTTGCATCCACCAAGTATGGAAGGTGGTAGCCTTGTGACAAGCAATGATTGATATATTGTGCTCTTATGCAATTTATCATGTATCTATGACCCTCTACGCCTCTCACCTGTCCCTCTGGGACTTACTTTAATATTCCAAAGTCCTATGCCATTTAAAACAGTTGCTTTTAAAGAAATCAGTTTAAACAACTAATAGAACTTCCCTCCTTTGCCCCTCTGAAGGGGATTTTACCACAATTCCCCTTGCCTGAGACCCCACAAGGAATGGTACTTGGTCTTGCTAAGTCACAGTTTTTCTATAACGAAAAATGTCACTCTGCAAAAAGTGCAGTGTCTTGTGGCCTTGCCAGGATAGTAATGAGAACGTTATACCATCAGAGAAAAGAGTCTCCACCTTCCCAATGGAATCCAGTATTTACGGTCCTGCAAGGGGGTGGTCGGGGAGTGAGTAATCTGACTTTAAAGGCATGGCATTTTTTAAATCTAGAAAGCCTATTCCAGGTCATTTATGGAGGTGTTTTGCATCACTTAGTTTTAATTATTTTCTCTCCCCTTGAGTTGGACTCACATTTGCAGGCAGAGGAATAAAAATATATTCCCAATAAATATTTTAGAAGCATTCCTAAAATTATTTCTCTATAAATAATATGACTCATACAAAAGCTTTAATGATATGGTGTGGCAGAGGTTTGAGCACCACTTGTTTGAGGTAATCTGTAGGTTATTTTACCTCCTCATGTTCAAATCTTTATTCCCCACCCTAAAGAATTTTGCGTGCATATAGAAACCCCAGTGTGTTGTATGGTTGTGCATGTGTGCTGCCAGTGCTGGTAAAGGGGAAAAAATAGTTCCTGAAAATGAGCTACATATGAAGGGTAGTTATAGGTCTGCCTGTCAGAGGGAAAAAATAATCTACAGTATCCCAATGAAGAGAAATGTTATACCCTTTGAAAGCTACTTTTTAATTTAATTTTAGCAAAGCCATTTCTGAATCTATCAGTGTTTTTGTACCTAATTAAATGAATAGTTCAACTTTTAATTTCAGCTCTTGTGGTTTTTTCTTTGCACCAGGAGATAATCCAAACCAGGCTTTTTATTTATATAGTCCCTAGTTCAGCAAAGCACTTGAGCATGTGTTCATCTTTAAGCCTGTGTAGAGCCCCACTAAAGCCAAACTTAGGCCAGTGCTTACATGGATTGAAGAATCTTGGTTCATTCCTGTGGACCTGATCCTGAAAGGCCTTCTTTCAGGGAGCTATCTTGGCATTCAGTGGAAGTTGTGTATGTAGCAGGCTAGTGAGATCAAGAGTATGTCTGCACCATGAACTTTAGTATTGTAGAGACACCTGAGGTCTAAGCTCAGGTCCCACAAGCAGTCTAGCCACAGCAACACAAAACTCTGCATGAGAAGCCCTTCCCTTTTTAACATCTATTCGTTATCATGTATAAATGAGGAAACTTGCTCACACTTCATTTTTTTCAGTTCTGCTCAGAATGTAGGTCATTTAGTTAAGCCTCCATTTCTTCATCAGTATGTATTATTACTATTTAATATTGTAGTGCTATAGTATAGTAGCAGTATAGGTGTGTTTATATATATATATGCGTGTGTGTGTGTGTATACGTCTATATATAAATAAAATATTACAGCACATAAGTTAACTGTTTGGCATGGAATAATATTATATTCTGGTTAGTCAGCTCATCTAGATCATTTCTGAGGATTCTCCATCCCAATGCCTGAAAAGACCCAGGGAAGACACAGTCCTCTGAAGAGTACAGCTCCCAAGTTTCCATTTTCACTCTTGTTCTTCATAGCTGTGTGCCCTTCCAGACAAAAACACTGAGTTGACAAATTGCATTGGTGACATTCAGTGGTTAGATCCCAATGCATACCAGTTGTGGTTTGCTTATAAGATGTAAACTTCCGTTGAAGTCCATAGGAGTTTTGGGTAGATGCATAATGATACTCAGCATTTATCCAGCACGTGAGCTGGGTCTAAAGTGAACAAATAAAGACAAGAAAAATATAGAATCTCTCCAGTGGAAAGAGGATGCAAAAAGTAGTAAAGAAGAATGGAGTAAAAGTTTAAGAGACCAATATAAATCCACAGTGCAATCATGAGCTCGCTCTCAGGTCCACAACTGGTATCAGTTAGCAGAGCCCCACTAAGCTCAGTGGCACTACTTCAGTTTACACCAGCTGAAGACCTAATTGTCCAAACCCCAAAGGATGCTCTCTCACAGGAAGCCTCCTTGTCTGCACTGACTGCCTGCATCCTCTCCCCACTCCCCCACCTTGGTAAGAGTCACAATTCAGAGCCACCACAATTGATATCAGAATAGCAGTGAGATAAGACCACCACTTTGGTCAAAAAGAAGGAAGCTCTGAGGGCTAATGTCAGGAAAACACATCCAGTCCTCTGGCTCACCTGGGCCTCCAGGCTGCACCTCTGCAGCCATGTCCAGAGTTTCCCATTTGCTCCCAGGACTTGACCCGGCAAGAATTTGGATGGGTGCACGGAGCACTGTTCTGTACGCTTTGCACAACTCACTGAGATTTTGATCCTGCAGCACAGTACAGAGGGGGCAGCCACTGCATAAACTCAGGAGTTGTCCATTTACTCATTACCTCTGACGGAGCAGTTGCTAATTCAGATTCTCTGTTGAGTCACTGAGGGCTTTCTCATGTACTGGATAGTCCTTATGTGTTACAGAGCTGGGGTATGTGGATTGTGAAGAAAGCATAGTAAGCCCAGAAGTAGCATATTTCCTGTGTTGCAAAGAGAGCATTTTTCATCTGGAGTTGCTTCACCCCAAGCGTATGAGTGCGTTTAAGGTCTAACTCCTGATGATGGGTTTCTCAAGTCAGATGTACCCTATTTGGCAGCAGTGCAGAGAGACTGTGCTTGCTTCCAAAACGTAAAGGTCCCATTTATTTCTGTTGGACCAGTGCTTCAGCCTTGAAATTTTGTCTCCAAAGCAACCAAGATCTATGACATGGTGTGTAGCCTGTCTATCCTTTGAACCAAAGAGTGTGAAGTATCACTTGACCCACACATATGTTAGTATGTGTCAGCACACTGTCTGAAAGACCTAGCCTGTATGTTTACCTGCATGCAGTTTGTAATCCTCTAATGCACAATTAACTAACTTGTTTATATCAGAGTAATTATCTTTCTCTAATCTCCACTTTTTGTAGTTTCTTGGAGTCACAGAACTATCTTCCTATTGCGAAGGCTACTTTCTAAAAAATATGATGGTCCTCATTGAAAACGAAGCTTTCAAACAGCTGTTGTATGACAAGAATGGAGAAACATCTGGTCAAAACGTACTGCAAGACTTACAGAGGACGTTGGCAACAAGGATTCAGTCGATTCATTTGTCTTCTTCAAAGGGCTCCATTGTATAAAGTTCAGGAAGGAGATAACACTCAGAAAAGACCCTGCAAGTTAAGTCTCCTGTTGTAGTTCCTTAAATGTAAACGAAAAATTCCAGTTTACATTGGAATACTTTTTGTTGGCCAAAGATGCTGCTTTTAGGCTGCAGCCTCACTTGGAAGTGGGAAAATGGTATATAAGGCTCCCACACATTTTTGAGTAACAAGGATATAACACTTTTCCATGAATTGCTGTTATGTTCAAGTCGGAACACAAAAGTGTGATCACGGAGCTAATGCCAACAAAAGCCAGAACACACACCGCTGAACAGCAGAAGCTTCTGCCCAAGCAACGATGCCATGGAACACTTAAACTGACCAGTCAGTCATTTAAGGTTATTTTGTTCCACAGGGTTATACGTCTAAGAACCGTGTTGTATCTATCCCAAAGCCCATTATATTGTGCAGTTAAGAAATGTAAGATCTGTTACTTGCTGTTTAGCTAGGGTCGAATGTGTTAGGGAGTTGGTAAGACTGTTATAACTGAGGAAATATACTGGCAAATTTTTAGGGGTGGGAACTTTTTAAAATTGTTCATAAAAACGGGGTGGCCTTGTAGATTAAAATCTATTTCTTCAGCTTAAACTTTTCATTTTCAACAGATTTGTGTCTGAGAATCTATGTAACATGTTTTGTTTTTCAAATGGTAAAATGTACACTGTATAAACATATATATGACCAGGTTTTACTTGTATTCTTTCCTAACATGGTATAATCTTGCCTAAATGGCTATGGTTACACCAAAGAGGTACATTTCCGAGATATTTCTAATACAGTAGTTGAGGGAAAAAAACTGCATGCTAATTGTGATTTGGGATTAAAAAACAACAACAAACTCAACATGCATTTGCATGGTAACTGTACCTGTGAAATGTTACGTTTGTGCTTCGTTTTTGCCAAGACAGATTCAATGTTACTTCTTGTCAAACTCCATTTGTGAACTCAGCATTTTTGCATTCTCTTTTCTTGGTGCAAATCATATGGATAGAACTCCCCAGAGACGCTTTGGAAGATGATGATTTCTGTGCGTTACATGGAAGAGTTAATACCAGACTCTTACTCTAGTAATACGTGGATACTTTGCTAGTGGCCAGAGATTGTGAAAAAGTTAAGGGTTTTTTAATTGTTATTAAATATGTACTATAGAATGATTTTTCATTGTATCTTAAGAATGTATAGGTTACCTATAAAGGAGGTGTTTTGTGTCAGGGCTCAATTTATTTTGCAGCATATTGTTAGCAAAAGAAACCTGTCAAGTGCCACAATATTCCTGACACTTTGTATTTGAATGATTCCTTTCATTAATTAATTGATCCAAAGCATAGTAAAGAACAGGAGAAAGTTGCTATCTTTTCTGTGGCAAAATTACATTAATGTATTTATTTTTAAGCATGGCTTTTTAAATTGTGCCCAGGTCATAGATTTTTAAAAGCTTTAATTTGACAATGCATGGTAACTCCTTGGTCTTTTGTTAGAGTACTTCTGTCCGGTGCTATTTCACGTTTATAGCTTTTGGAATGATCAAAAAATATAGTTTTCACATTAGTTATCAACATGGTAGGAAGCAGTTTTATTATACTGATCTGTAATTCCTCCTGTATGCTTGATCATTTTAAAGCCTATACAGTATCTGCAGCAAATTACAAAATTGCCTAAATGTCCATTAATGTCACAGAGAGACACAGCATGTCAACCTAGCAATCAATTATTAGACCATTTTTTTCTGCATAGTATATGTCATAAGATGTTGCCTGGAACATTTAACTAATGGCAACTTACTTTTCTGTGAATGTTGCAATACTAGAGAAGCAAGAACTTGATCAATGTGATTGCAGCTCTAGGGGGTGTTTATTATAGTTTGGTGTGCTTCCTTGGCCATAGAAACCCATTTTTCCACATTGGTAACAATCTAAATAATAAGAAAAAACCTTGACGACCAGCTTAAGGCTTTAAAATTGCAAAAGCTCTAGAATTTCATCCAGTAATCAGTTTGCTAACTTCTACCTATAGATGCACATAGAGAAGTCAAGTTACATGGAAGAGCTTCATGCATGTGACAGGATTTAGCTCTCTGGGAAGTAAAAGCACAGGTTTAAGTTCAGCTAGCAGTCTGATATCCAACATGATGGTAATTGCTCATGCTGCATTGTCTTTGGAGCGTTAATGATGTCTTCAGGTATTGGCAATGTAGTACAGAGCTGTGTTCTGAGTTATTTTGTGATAGCCCACATGGAATATAGATGGATGTGCAGAAACTCATCACAAAAAGGTATGACCTCTTTTGGCAGTTTCAGAGAGAAATCGAAGGCCATAGAGGAATAGAGAGTTCACTCCCATCTTGTCCAGAGATGTGGTCTCTCCAGTTTAGGATTGAGACATGATGGAAAGACACCATGGGTAAGCATGCACTGATTTTGTGTTGTACATCCTGCTGATAAATAGAGGTCTTCATTTCTGCTCTTTTCATCACATCTTTCAAGAGCATTAAATTTGTCCAAGTTTTCTTATAGAAACGCAATCTGTTCTCTGATTTGTAAATGGAGGATGAGATGGGAGTTGTGCATAGACATCAGAGGACAAAATCAGACACAAAATCAAATGGAAAACATACATCTTTGACTGCAGTAGGGTTGTGTCAGCCCATAGATTTGTGCGTTCCTTCAGCTTTTTAAGGCCTGTTAACCTGGAACACTGAGCATGATATAATACTTGCTGTTCCATGGTATAAAGCTTCAAATTTAACTTACTGCTGCCACGAGATGCATTTTGCTGGTCTTAGTTAAGCATGTACAGGAGAAAAAGACTATAATAGTCTATGGGACCAAAGATGCTCCTGAAAGAGGATTGTGGCTATTGAATTATGAGACAATGCCTGTTGCTGTTAAAGATACTGTAAGCAGTGGGTCTAGATTCACCAAATATCCTGGATCCCGCTGAACTCCATAATACATAGTATTAGATTCCAAGTGCAGAGCTGCCCAATGCATCCAACCATGTGAAAACTGTCATCATTTCAGTGGAGGTCTTTGTGATTAATTTTATCCAAAAAAGCAGTTAAAATGCTTGCCATTTCCTGTGAATATGACCTTATTATATATGGTCTTACAGAATGACCCCTTTTACCAAAGCAATGGATATGAGTATCCTTTAGAAAGGCAGTGCTAACTTTTTAGTCAATGAAAACCATAGGATCATTTGTCTCTTCGCCACTTGTCATTATTTCTCAAATTTGGGGAAGAATTCTTTCCTCCCCTCCTTAACTGGGAGAACTTTTCCAGTTCACCCAGTTTTTGATGAACTAGAAATGTTTATAAAATCTTTTAGAAAAAAGTATGTGATTATTTTTTCAGTCAGAACTTCTCATCCTGCAGCTCTCTCTGGGGCTTTTCATTTTTGTTTTTATATGGCTCTTTATCATTGTGCCTCCATGTTGCTCAATTTTTTCCTGCTCCACAGGCCAAAGCCCCTTCCATCCTCTAAAAACAGCTGCCATCCAGATGTTATCCACATTGGAAGAAGGACATTTTTCTTGGGGCTGAGCCTTTTTGCAGTCTAATAGTTTGCATACACAGGCCCACTTCATTCATGAACTTGTGCAAAACATAATTAAAGGCATAGTGAAAATATTCTTAGTGATGTGTGAGGAATTAGTGGCAAAACTTTCACTGTTGTTGTTCTGCTAAATCTCTACATGGCACTTCAAAACTGACCCTGTTCTTGTTGAAGATCTTCTGACCATTTGCTTGATACCAAATATTGCACTAGTCTCTTAAATATATTAGGATGTGTGGTGCATTAGGGAGACTTTCAGGAACCTCCAGTCAACTGCCAATATGTAGCATGTGGTGTTATGTTCTTTGAAGATTAAAAATATTCCCTCAATTCTCACTGAAATGAGCTACACTAAAATAATACAATCATAGACACACAGGACTGAAAAGTGGCCTCAGGAGGTCATCTAGTCTACCCCCTGATCAAGGCAGGATCATCTTTGTCTAAGCCATCACAGACAAATGCCTGTCTACTGTACACCTAAAATCTTCTAATGATGGAGCACAGCATCTCTAGGTAACCTGTTCCATGACTTAAACGAAGACCTTCGTGATCTTTAACTGAAATCTCCCTTGTTGTGATTTAAACCCTTTACTTCTTATCCTGACCTCAGCAGATGTAGAGAACAATTGATTGCTATCCTTCCTTTAACAGCCCTTTTTGTATTTGAAGGCTGTGATCAAAGTCACTCTTTTCTTCTCTAGATTAAATAAACTAAGCCTGTAATAATTTTTGTTTCTCTCTTCAGGACTCTTTTCAATTTGTTTACATGCTCTTAAAGTGTGCTCCCAAAACCAGACACAGCACTCTCTGTGAGGCTTTACTTATGCAGACTAGAATTCACATTTCTGTTAAGGTTTTATGGGATGCTCTTACTTTTCTCCTTGCAGCAATATTACTTCATTGACTTGCAGTCATTCAGCTTGTAGTCCACTGTAACCCCGTGATGTCTTTCCAGTGTCCTGCAAGTCTACACTCATTCCCCATTTTGCATTTGTTATTCCTTCCTAAGTGAAGTGCTTTGCTTTACAAACTGATGAGAAAGACAGGTGGTGACCTCCTCCCACTCCACTTGCTCTCCATATACATGCACACACAGCAAATTGTGGGGCCTGGTTCTGCAGAGGATGTCCATGCTCGTCACCTAGGACCCAAGTACCTAAAACCTGTTTGTAGGTTATTGATACTAGTGAAAGAAATACACTGCTCTCATTAAAGTTAACACGCTCAAAAGCATAAAGAGATACAGTAAAGCTCCAAACATCATAGACAAACAGCCACAACAAACTTCGTTGTCTGTTAGCCAAATCCTGAGATGTCCTGAGTACCTGCAGTGCCCATTGGAATCAGTGCAAGTTGCAGACTCAAAGCCTCCTTCAGGAGTTGGCTCTATATTCATCTGACTTATAGACGGCCAAATCCTGATGCCTGTATTCATCAAGGTAGTCTCTGAAGTCAGTGGTGTTTTGCATGAGTAAAGGCCAACTAAAAGTGAAATAAGGGCTTTGAGATTTGGCCCATGGTGTTTTTCATATGAGGATGTAAAATTGCTTTGTGAACATTAAAGGCTGGATGTTGCTGTTCTTCCTCCTGCATTTGTGCCTTATCCCAGAAATGGTCCTACTGAAATTAGCAGATTTGAGGCTAAAATATGGTATTAATTAAGGAGAGCAGGGTGGCTGAATCTAGCCATTGATAAGCATAATAATGTTCCTGTGAGCCCTTCATCCATTTGACCAACTGGTAAGTGGTGGCACAGGCATGTTGTTGTGATTTGTCCAATTTAGTGTGGAAACTGCCAGCATCAGGCTCTGGAACTATGCATCCATAGCTGTGTTCCCCCTTTTGCATTCGATGCCTAGCTACCACTATCAGAAATGGGAGTTAAGCAATAAGCATGGATACTGAACAGCAAGCCCCGGGCCTTTGTTGGCTTTGGACAGACTAGCTCACTTGAATATTACATGCAAAAAGGAGAACAGATCACAAGCTCCTCACTCACATGAACAAGCAGGAGCTCCCCCTTGAGCAATCTCAAAGGCAATGGAGTTGAGCACCCGAGCGCATTATTATCACCACAATATTAGTATGTGCTTTAAGGAGAAATCTTAGAAGAAGCAATTAAGAAAGATGGCTTAGAGATATTCTAACGTACTGTAGGCTTGCTTTCCACATGTCAGACTTCAGATAGCCTCCAAATAATACGTAAATCGCCATAAATGATAAAACTGCTTAGCTTACATCATTGATTAGGATTAATTAACGTTCGTACTCCTAGTCCTTAGTGTTTCTTATCATGTCTTCATTCCATTTATAAGTAAATAAATTATTTTCATCCCTTGATATGTTTACTGTTTTGAAGCTTAGGCTCAAACTATACTCTTAATCTTCATCATATAATCATGCAATGGGCTAATCACTCCTGGTTTACCATTGGCTGCTGTATTTAAAATGAAAAACAAATACAGAGGCCCAGCATTAGTTTTTCTGTGGATTGATGATCTGTGAGTTCAGTGATAACTCTGATGGAAAAGTTACCAATGGCTATGCCCAATACTGCAGCTCTTATGCAGGAAAATCCCCCTAGTGAATTCAGTACAAGTTGTACTTGAGTAAAGATCTGACTGAAAATGCATGGACATTGATGGAAGTCTTTCAGCTGGCTTCAGCAGAGGCTGGATCAAGAGCTAAGATCTGGAGACTTTTGCTTAGTTAGGTTTATTTTTCCCACTAAATTCTTGATTCTTCATCATTCCTTGGTCAGTTCTTGCACAGCTCAAATATAGTTTGCCTGAAACTTTCTTCTGGAAGGTGATAGCTCCCGTTTCTTGTGGGATTTGTTAGGGTCACTCTTCTAATAAAAAAAAGTCCTTGAGGCAGTGTTTCAGGAAGTAGGAGTGACTAAAGGTACCTCTTGTGTGAGTGGTACAGTTACAAGGATACTACAGTTTCCTAAGCCATGCTTTCCAGTTGGAGTGGAGTTGTATGCTACAACATAGAGGGGTGGCTGACCACTTGCTTTTTCAGAGTGATTTCTCCTGTTCACTTGGTTGCATAGCTCCACGTTGTCTCCTGTCCTTTTTATTTTTCTGTGTATCTTGTGATGCTGTGTGCATGAAGGAGCAGGCTTGTTTGCAGTAGGCACAGCATGCTTAACATGTTGGGGGACATGCCAGCAGAGAAGTCTTTGTGGGGATGGGGACTGGGACTGAAGGTCTGAGTGCCTGAACCCAGAGATGTTAAGTTTGTGTTTCCTGTTCTGCTTGATCTCCACCCTTGGGCTCCATGGAGTCTGAGGTGGAGAATGAGATGTTGTAAGAAAGGGTGAATGAAAGGGTGCACAAAACATATGCATGGAGTTGGTCCCTGCTGCTACACCTTACTCACCATCCTTGCCTAGCTTGGCTGTTTTTTTTTCTTCTCTATGTTCATAAAAACAGGGTGCTTGTGCATTCCCAGTGCTCAGACCCTGACTGTTGAACTCTAGCAAATGTTAACTTTCCTTTGTCAATACCGCTTTCTCTCAACTACATTTGTGAGAGCAAACTTATCTGAATACCTTTGTTCGGTGCCTGACTTTGCCCTTTCCACCTCCAATCATTTCTGCTGCTGTATTTTCATTAAAACTTCTATTACCTTTACTTACTCTGTTATACATTATTTTTTCCTATCGCTTTTATGAAGAAAATAACCCTGTTGAAATCTCTGATAAGAAATAGTTTATGTTTAAAAATAGGCCAAGTTAGAAACCTGCCTTACTTATCTCAGGATGAGACCTCTTTATAAGCAGCCACGTGAGAAGAATGGAGTTTTTTCAATGGACAATTCAAATGAGAAATAATTAGGGTCACAGCCATAATGCCTCAGAGATGCTGCTAGAAATGGATTAATGATCTAAGGTGCACAATAGCTAAAATCCTTCCAGCCATCCTAGCAGCAATGACTGATCTGTTGGTGGATAAAATGAATACCAAATAGTTTACTGTATGTACATGAAGGGGTGGGGGGAGGAGGAGGTCTTTCAAATAAGACCTTAAAAATATTGGCTCCTTTTTGCTCTGTATGGTCTTTACAGAACCTGGGGAACTTTAATAGGAGGGCTTTTCTCACTCCATCTTTTTCCCATTATTTTGCCATGTGCTCCAAGGGTGGCTGCCTTTCAGTGGTGTTGTAAGCATGTGATTCCTTTAGAATGGAAGCTGAAGCTTAAATGCGATGCAATTAATCTAATTAGGTAGCCCAAAGTAAGCATGGGGAATGCTGACTAGACCTCCTTTCAAATACAGCAGGCTTCTTCAGGCAGCCTAGTTGGCAAATTGGAAGCTGGCTTTGATTCGGTCACTCAGAGGGAAATGCTCTAGAATGGTGTAAGAGAGAAAAGGAAAACCAGCCGTGTCATCTTTGACAAGGGAGTTAAAAATGAGGTCTGCGAGGTCAATAAAGAATTCATGGCACACGTCAGCAGTAAATAAGAAAAAACTTATCAGTTTCAGGGTCTTGGCCAAATTCCTTTGAAAGGTTTATAGTGAACCAATCTAAATTCAACCCCTATATTTCCACTGGACATATCATCCCCTTCCTGTCTTCAGTTTCTATACAAACTCCTGCATGTCAGCCCTCCATTTGCTATTTGTCAGTTGTGAAATGAATAAATGTATATGTGTGCATTAATATGCCAGTCATATAAAGCTAAATCCTACTCTGTATTACTCAGATGCATGCACACACCAGCAAAGGATACCTCCCTAGTGATCTCTTGTGGACAAGGTGAAGGTCTAGCAAAAGTGTCTCCTAATGCTTTGCAGTTCCAAGAGGATGAGCTCAGGACTCTGAGCTCCTCTCTAGCCATTTTGTGGACTGCATCACTCAGTGGAGAAGATTTGGGTCCCATTCTTTTTAGGTCTGCAAGTCATCCCCCTGTTCCGATACCACACAAACAAAACGAGTCTACTCAGAATAGGACTTTGTGTCCAGAGTCAGCAAAGCATATTGCACCCCTGGGACATATGTTGCTATTGAAAATCGGGGAATATTCTGTATCTGAGCTATTCAGTAACTACTTCATTTTATGTCCACATGAAGTGCTTTTCATTTTCTATCCATATTTGCGTGTGTGTGTGTATGCGCGTGTGCGTCTGCGCACACGTGCACACAAAGATGGACAGTAAATTGATCTACTGTATATTTTATGAGGTGTGAAATCATGTTTGTAATAAGCTCTCTTATTAAAGACAGTCAGCCTTCCCAGATGCTAAGCATTAATGTAATGCATGTTAGTGAACGGATCAACTTAACCCCCAGTTGGGCATAGTTTAGCATCTCTATATTTTTATATGACATTATAGAAAGTAGCTGGCATGGTAGATGAGGGGAAAACAGGCATTCAAGGAAAAATATTAAATCAGATTGTGGGTGCCATACATAAAGCAAAAAAAGGGCAGGGAGGATACAATGCCCAGTGATGTTGTGGGTTGTAGGGTTGTTGACGTCTATGAGTCATGCTGTAGCTTCCCCACCCCCCTTTTTTGTTCTCATTCATGTATTGAATCTGTT